GCCTGGAACGTTGGGCTGAGCACTTTGAAAGGCAGTTTAATCGGTCGGAATTGTTAGATTTCTCGCCGACCAGTGATCGCCCTGCTCCCTGGGCTGTTCCTTTGGATCCACCCTCTCGCTCAGAACTCGAACATGAGATCAAACTGCTGAAGTTAAATAAAGCCGCGGGACCTGATGACCTTCCTCCAGCCCTTTTCAAATTCGGGGGACCTGCTATTGTGGATGATTTACACGAGTTACTAGTAAGACTGTGGGAGCAGGAGACTGTCCCAACTGATTGGAGCAGCTCCATCATAGTCCCAATTTTCAAAGGAGGCTCACGATCGGAATGCGGCAACCATAGAGGAATCAGTCTGATTTCCATCGACTCCAAATTGCTTGCCTCTGTCATCCTTCACAGACTGACTGGCACTCGTAAAAGCCAGATTCGTGAAGAGCAAGCTGGATTTCGTCGAGGTCGTAGCTGCATTTACCACATCTTCACCTTGCGTCAGTTGTTGGAGCACCGTCACATATATTGGCGGCCCACCGTTGTCGTGTTCCTCGATATCAAAGGTGCATTCGATTCGGTGGATAGACATGCACTTTGGGACTGTCTACTCAGGAAAGATCTACCTGAGAAATATGTGAATATTATCCGAGCATTATACGCTCGTAGCTCAGGCAGAGTTGTCGTCGCCCTTTAATATCTCCAGCGGCGTGAGACAAGGATGCCCGCTGTCACCTTTCCTCTTCAACTTCGCTGTTGACGAAGTCATGGAAATCGCGTTCACAGGACACGACTTGGAAGGTGTGGAGCTACTTCCAAGAGAACGACTTCTTGATTTAGAGTATGCTGATGATATTGCCCTCATCTGTGACAGCTCACAAACGTGCCAAGCGGCACTGGACAGATTAGCACTAGCTGTCCGTCACTTCGGGCTTTGCTTCGCACCCTCGAAGTGCAAAGCGTTTCTCCAAGATTGGTCTGGACCGCCTCCTACGCTGACCCTTGGTGGGGATCAGCTAGAAGTCGTTCAAAAATTCAACTACCTGGGAAGTTGTATCAGCGCCTGTGGGATTGAAGATGAAATCACGAATCGTATAGCAAAAGCTCGAGGCGCTTTTGCTAACCTTCGCCACTTATGGCGCCGGCGCGACATCACTCTTGCCCTGAAGGGTAGAGTGTACAATGCAGCAGTACGTTCGACCCTATTGTACGGTTGTGAAACCTGGCCGCTTAAAGCAGCGGACCTGAAGAGGCTAGTTACGTTCGACCACCGGTGCCTTCGTAATTTAGCTCACGTTTGGTGGGAACACCGCGTGAGTAACGAGCGTGTTCGACGCCTTGTTTATGGCACAGGAAAAGGAACTGGACCGCTCAGCACCGTTATTTCACGCATCAGGCTCCGATGGCTCGGCCACGTGTTACGCATGCCAGCCCACCGACTTCCGCGACGTGTGTTGTTTGCGCGCCGGGGGTGTGGATGGAAGAAGAGGAGGGGTGGCCAAGCGACGACTTGGTCCAGAGGAATGAAGACCCTCACTTCGAAGCTGGCCTCGGTTGGAGCGTCTCGGCTCCCTGGTTGGGGTCCAAAGGACGATGAACACGTTTGGTTGGACACACTTGCTGATATGGCTAGGAGCCGACCTCAGTGGCGTTCGTGCTGTGAGTTTCTTTGTCCCACCCCATCCCTCTTAGCCTCCCCCTCCAACCCATTACTTAGCCTTATATAATTTTGCATAATAATTTTTTTTGGGTGCACAGCAGCCGGCTGGTAGCTTACCGGAACGATGCCCATCCGTTACCGGTAGCTCAGCCAGCTTTCACCAGTTATTTTTTTCTCTCCTTTTTTCTTTGTATTGCGGCACAGTAGCTGAGGTGTTTCCCACCTCTAGCTAACGTGTGTGATGATGATGAAATTAGCATGTTTCAGTTATCTATAAATACGGTTAACTTATGGTGTAGATAGACTCCCTGTTTACCGAGCCTTGGTCTTCTGTATTCCGTCAGTTGCTTGGGCGCGTGACTGAGAAGTCAGACAGTCGCAGTCTCATAGGGCAGCTAGCAAGTACAACAGTCGTCAGTGGCAGAGAGCAGAGGTAAGAAGAAGCGTTACAACGGTGGCGACAGGAGTCAGGAGAACCCAAAAATGCCAGTCAGTTTTGAGCAATTGCAGTCTCTGCTGCAGCAACAGCAGGCGCAGTTTGAGAAAGCACAGGCCAAGTTGATCGAAACGCTGGCCAAGAATTTGTCACTACAGGCAGGCTCGGTAACAGGAACAAGTGAACGCTGCCCCTCAGCAGAAACCTTGATCCAGCAAGTTTGTGAGTTCCGTTACGATGCTGATGCCGGTATTACCTTTGAATCGTGGTTCCATAAATACGAAGACCTGTTTCGCGTTGACTTAGCCGGTGCTTCAGAGGACAATAGAGTACGCCTCATGCTGCGGAATTTGGGTGCGGCCGAGTACGAAAGTTTATAAATTTCATCTTGCCGAAAAAGAGCACTGATTTAACATTCGATGAAGCGGTTGCTACTATGTCCCAGATATTTGGAGAACAGTCGTCATTATTCAATATCCGATACAAGTGCCTGACAATGACCAAGCGAGACGACGAAGACTGGGTTACTCGAGTCGCATAAATCGTGAGTGTGAACGGTCGCTGTTTCACAAGATGACAGCTGATCAGTACAAGTGCCTTATTTATGTGTGTGGTCTTCAAGCAACCAAAGATGCGGATGCCCGAACAAGAGTACTGAGCAGAATTGAACAAAATCCCGAGATCACACTGCAGGAAGTGACGAACGAATGCCAACGGTTGATGAACTTGAAGCATGATCCAACAGTCCTCTATCCAGAGTAGTCAGGATATCATTTGCAGGGTCAGCAGAAGTCCTCAGAAAAAATCGCTTCATGTGAGTTCACCACATCCTAAACCTTGAATCAGGACACACGCGTTCTCACAGATTTTCTGACGCCTGGTTTCCTGGGACCAGTGGTGCGGATCAATTAGAAGAGCTTTCAATAATGGACTATACTGCTCCCACATCAGACATTTCCTAAGCCAGACTGGTCCACCAGTCATCCTTAACAAAACTCAGACTCCTCTTTGGTTCGCGCCTAATAGCCAGTCTGGTTACATTGAGCGCAGAGCAAGTCTGAAGTTTGCTACCGGATTCCAACTGGTTCGCGACCTATCAGATAGCTAGTGATGATTGATGGTGCCGCAAACAGACGTTCAACTGAAGCTGTATCACTAGGATAAAAGAGCGAACTTTCCAGACTCAGGACATCCTGGTAGGCTTGCATGACTTAAGGGCTCAGTTGTCAATCGAGGGAGGCACTTGACACGCCTGACGAAAAAGTCCATAGAAAAACGAAAGAGCATCAAGGCAGTGTTAGTTGACGCAAGTACTCCAGAAAGAGCGACAATTTAGAATGGAACCACGTCAACTATAGCTTATGGCAAGGGGAACAATTTGGGTCCATTGCTAGTCAGCTACAGGAGGAGACCAAGTGGCACTTCGGCGTCCACTGTGTCTAAAAGCAGTGCTACTAATAAACAACTGGTGCTCCGCATAAAGTTACAGCAGACGCTTGCCGTTGTCAGTTCGTTCGGAGTTAAGCTCATAAGTACCACCTAGCTGAGCTTCTGCAGAGACCAAACAGCCTACTTGTGCATTCATATCCCCGCAACAACCATGATATTTTAACTAGCAACAATGCGAAACAGCGTGCTCGGTTCGTGTTAGCAGGTGCCCTTGGCGGATTCAAAACCGTAGTCGGTGGAAGCATAAGCAGCAACCGCAAACAAATAATGTCTTGTGCTACTTCGTCAAATGAGCTGCTCACTGGAATCCAACCAACCACCGATGACTCCAGCTGGACCAGTGGTTGCCGCACCAACGTCTCCGGAGGCGTGCAACCAATTCGAGAAGACAAGCCGGGCGCAGTTAGTTCAGCAAACCCATGAGAGTCATTGATCCTAGTTTCGGACACACAACACACGTCCATACCCAGGGTGTCCAACGTGCGCGCGTGTGCAGTCTGTTGACCTACTAGTCTTAGAGAGAGGGAACGTTGAACCCCACCAGGGAAAAGAGAGCGTGGCCTTATAAGAGGCTGTTGCCGATAGGCGTCCAGGTTGTGGCGCAGAAAGATAGCTGCAGATGGTAGAACTGCAGTGGCATTGCAGTTGTTCGCAACTAAGCTGGAAATTACAAAAGAGTGGTTAGTAATGGGTGTCAGGAAAAAAGTCAAATCAAAATAAGCTTTATCCACCTACATGGGCGCATTTCCAACAATTCACACCAACACTGCGGATTGTAATACAACAAATCATCAATAAGCAAACAATAATTAACAGCAGTGAAACGAAAATGTGCATCCTCAATCAAGAATATGGTCAGGCAAGCAGCGCTTCCTTGCTGAAGGACTGTCTAATAACCGTGATAGATAAGGCAGAATGGAGTTTCAGTAGGACGAGGTACTAGAATAAGAAGCATTAAATTTTGAATAATTAAGAGGAACGGGTGCAAAAATAGTAAAAGGGCATCCGCAATGACATTTTCTCGCCTATCCATCTTGCTGTATGCAGCACATAAGGCGATTTCGAAAAGCTGCGTGACAATCAATGCATGATGTGATTGAAGTATGATGAGCTAGTCATGATCGTTTATGGGCTAAGATACTGCCAAATCGCCCAAACCTGGAAAGAAGAGCGAATAGGGACCACAACCAACGCTTATCCGCAAGGCGGCGGATGTGGGCAACGATTCGGTTTTAGAGAAATGGATGCCGCCCCTTTTCTAACCCCCCAACCTGAAAACTGAGTTTGTCTGACCTCTAACCATTGGTCAGCCTGGTGTAAATAGCTTTCAAGGGGCCGAAGAAGTACGCAAACAGATGCACCACGTTAAGGGTCAGTCTCCTTGCGACGGGATATCTGGAACGCACCAGTTTAAAACTGCGAATGCGAATTGTAGCGCGTAGTCGGTTGGCATACAGAACGAGGATGTGAAATAGCATTCTTTGGTATGAGGGGAAATGATCAGTCGTAGTGTAAAACTAACCGCCTCAGCGATGCACTCGATTCGCGAGAGAAGCTAAGATTCGCTGAACAATAAATATGGCGACGGTGCTCAGATTAGCATGGTGGGAAAAAGTAGAAACTCTGGTGTGAGGTAAGTAAGATGTCTAATGGCAATGTATTCATGAAAATCCTATCTGAAAATAAGTATAATCTAAATTAAACAGTCTCTGATTAGCAAAAAAGACCAAAAACAATCGCGCATAAAGAGATGGAACTGTAGCAAACCATAACATCTGATGGCAAAATGAGTCTCAGAGGAGCGAGTGAGCGAATGACGTACACAAAGGATAGGGCGATGAAGAGAAAACACATGGCTGTGTATCAATTTTCGGAGAACAAGAGTGACAGAATAGTCTGAACGTGGACCTTTGTATTGTGTTTTCCATCTCAACGGGGCAGCAGGTAGAGGATAGCAATGGGATGCGTAAAAGGAATGACCACCGCCACCACCAAAGGAACTGCGCAGAGAAAAGTGATAAGTAACGGTGGCAGCAGGGGCTACCGGAGAGGGTTCGAGTCTGTTGGTGTACCTTCGCACAATCGCTATGATAAGAACAATGGGCCGATGAGATAGTCGCGAGATTGTGAATGGCGATAAGATGATGGAAAATTGATTGCGCATAGAATGCTAAGCGCTTGTAGAGAGAGGGGGTGAAGAAATGGAAAGACGCTGAGCTTGTCTGCACTGATGGAGCTATGTCCGTGAAATGGGTGGTGTAGTATAAGTAGCATGAAAGCATAAAAACCGTCGTGACAGTTTGTGAAATGCTTTGCAACAACGGGTACTGTGTAAAAACGGTGAGTTTCTAGAGGCGAAGAAAAATAGGTGAAACCTGATGAAGTACGAGCAATAGCGATAGGTAAGTCGTAGATCGCAGTGACTGCTGTCCTTATTAAAGGAAGTAAAAAAGACTCGAGAGTCAGTAAGAAAGGATACGAAATACACGCAACTAGACTGTCGAAGGAGTGTATGCTGCTGACATGACAGAAAATGAGGGGGGTGGGGATTTGGAACAACGGAAAGTAAACAGACCTGATGGAGACGGATATTCACCGATGAAAGTGAACCTGAGTGAGCGCATGAGTGAGTGCAAAACCAATGAGAGTTTAAACGACCGATGAAAGACGGAAAACGACGTGACTGCGACTAGCAGTGAGTAGGATACACGTTCTGGATGAAACAATCGAATGGGAAGGAGGCCATACAATAAAGTGAGGGAGGGGGTCCCATGATGAAGGTCGCCTTAAGCAAGTGAGCAGCATATTGCATGGGAAATTACTGAAAAGCAACAATTGTCTGATGCGCGATTGCAACGGTAAGAAAAAGCCATCCTGTGGACAGGCGGTCGGTACAGGATTGGAAAATATTGGGTATCCAAAATAAAAGTGGAGAACAAAATGCTTCCGATAATCTATGAAATCGCTAATGCAAGACATAACTACGGATAGACAGACAAAAGTGAACGAAAAAGCACTCCGGAAAAACGGATACTAAAGGAAGACGACATCATGGTCGTTTGTAATGATAATAAATAAGGACTATACAAAAAGGGAATCACAAGATCCGTAGGGTGAAATGAACGTATAGAAGAATCCGGGTGAAAACAATGGATGAATTCGTTGGGATGGGACTGTGACCTGATTTGGGAGCGAATTGTGGGCGAAGGCATGTGGCTGTGAGAGTGAAGAAAAGTCTTGCACATCGATTAGTAATACTATGGAATAACATCCTTCCCGAATGGCTGCAGTGGTATTGCGGGGTAGACGAATGTGGTTTCTTGGGGTACTTAATCTTGAGGAGGATAGCCACTAGACCACAGGTGACTCGTTAGTGGTGCTAATAGGGGATGGTAACGACGGAGCGGAGACGGTATACATAATAGTGATGGCGGATAAATGGAATTCGAATGACGCTAGAGAAAAGCAACTGCACATAAACGAAGCGATCCGGAGGTACGATTGGTACAAGCGATCGGAAATCGGAAACGTGTCCCTAGTGATGGAGGATCCGCGTAAATACACATTCATAGATAGCTACTTTATTCGGTAGAATCCGAACTGGCATGTTCAGTATCGCCATCTGTTGCACGTGATGCCGTGTGCTCCGTGTTCGTAAGAGGAGCTGACAACTCGGTGGCGGACGCAGCAATATCGAACGCATCACGACGACTATGTTCCAACGGTATGGATTGCAGGTGATGTGGATCCTTGGGGGGAATCGAAGTGAAGGGCTGTGTGGTGAACAAATGTTGTTCATTTGCAGAGCTGAAATGCTGTAGCAAACAAGAGGGGGGCGGTGGATGATGGAAGGAAACGACCGAGTACGAGAGACAAAGATAGGCAAGAAAAAATGCAACACTTAATTGAGCTCATGCAATCGAGTTGAATTGGAAAAGATAGACGTTCTCCATAATAGACTGAGAAAAGGTATGATTATGTTCGTGCACCAATGCTTAGACTAATACAAAGTGATTAACAAGAGCGATATAACTCATAAAATGTATGACATGGAATTGTAAATGTAACAGGGACGGCGCTGACAGCAACTGAATTTTGTGATCAGCAACCCATCAAGACGGACGCACTTTGGACCAAGATGTAGAGTAACCTACTAAGACTACGTTGAAGTTAACCTATCTAACAACGGTGCCAAAATCACTTACATGCGAACTACCACGGTTCCCGATACACGGTGTAGCATGTAAACGAAATGATGGAAAAAGGCAGTATAATCTGCATCCAGCTCCACAGGAAACAGCTAGGAAAGTAGAATTGAGACAAGAACCTGATATTTCATCATGTTGAGGCGAAGAACTACATTCCTATAAATGTGATGACATTACCGCGCAACAACTACACACATGGGGGCAGCAGTGACAATAAATAGAGGATGTGAGAGCAGCACAAGACAACTCCACATTACGCGGCACAGCCGTGAAGTCCGTGGCCAGCGCCCGATCCCAGTGACGCTCCTGTGGACACCTGTCTCTTTTCACACTGCTTAGGCCTAGCTGTGCGCAAAGCGAGATACTTGTAGATTGAAATGTGAAGGATGTAGAGTTGATCTGAGATCTTCCTCTAAACGTCTGGTGGATGCGACGGGAATGAGTAAGCCCTGAAAGCCACGGGGGATTTGCATCCGGCATTTTTACCCTTATTTTATGGACGAAAATATGGCACACTCCGCCGTTTGGCAACTCGCATTACTGCAAGTCTAAAACAAACGCACAAAATCTAGGGCGCTGCAGTCAGGGATCTAATGGTGACAACACAAGTGTTAATTCAACAAACTCGTACAATTCCTGCTAGTCCACATTGTGACCAAATATACAATTGTCGAGTAGCAAAGACGAAAGAATGGGTGTCTAAGACTGTCATTCAAAAAAGCGAATGGGACAAACCAGTTACCAGTTGACTTGGTTCAATGCAATTAACAAGTACGACTGGTCAGCAAGGACAGCGTAGCACATTCTCACGAGACGACTAGCGAGATTCTGTTTAAATCACAAGCGTCGGTGCAAGCATATGTACAGTCTTCAGGGTTTGCAGCGGGGGGCTCCAGAATCTGAAAGGCTTAGGGAATATGAACAAATGTTTAGATGATTGGCCAACATCTTCAGCTCTAGCACTTCCCGAGTTGTCCGAAACCAACGGGGCCAAAAGTACATCAGTTTTACTGGCTCACCAACAGGATTAACCCACATTTCTATCGTAGGAGTTGATGCAAGGACCATCGTTGCGGACTCACGGTTCCCAATAATAAAAACTACAATGCATGCAATGATGTGGATCCGGGTGAACCAATGGCCACAAGCATTCGAATGGCAAACGGATAACGTTAATCCTTAAACGAATAACAATCAACCTTATTCACAAAGTAGGAAGCCAGACTTAGTGTCGCACACTGCGATCCCAACGATTATGGAAACTAGCTCCGAGGAGAATTGGATGTCCTACCACAAACGTTGTAGTGATATGGCATCAGAGGAGTACCGATTACGCCAACATCGATCAGTTTAGCTCAGTCCAACTGATAGAATATTATCGAATCGCAGTGCGTCGGATTCAGCTGCCTTGACACATGTCGCCTAACAAACATAAGAACAATAGTAATAATAATAAATATAGTAACCAAACGTGAGAGCGCGATTTACTTCATAGACGCGATGTGTTCAATCGCATGAAGTGACCGATTCTAAGAAAAATCATCCAGAGACAGCAAGCACCAAGGTTACCTGATCCTTTCGTAAGTCACTTTTTGGTCAATTTCCACGTCAATGAGCGGTCATCACGAAGTCTCATTCAATTAAGTGAAGCAATACGCATCGAAATAACCAATTTGCACGCAAGCGGGGCAGCATATTGTCAAGCCAATACCAGTAACTGTACTGTAATCGGACATCAGAGGACCTGTTACCAATCAACTGATGGACGTTCCAGTACCTGTCAATCAGCTCTCCCACCCAAGCAGTAATGCTGACGTCCGTCTAGCATTGTGCACCTTTCACATAACTAATATATCTCACTGTCTCCATGCTCAGCGGGAAATTTAAAAAAGCTATAATAGCTTTCGCAATGTATGCTGTAATCTCCTCGGTGGCAACTCCCTCAGAGGTAGTACAGCTAACTAGATAGGTGGAATGATCGAACAACTGAAGCAGTTGTTCGGTTCATACTATGAGGAATCGAATCACGGCGATACGTATAGCGATACGTACGAGCAGTGCTGTAACAGCAACTGGGTCAGAGCCAAAGTAGTTCAATAGCTCTGGCCAACAAAAATTACACAATAAAAAAGATAGAAGGAAGGATAATCCTGACGTAATGTGCGCTTGTCATGGTGAGCCATTGGCGATTGTGCTCCGGGTAAATGAAATGGAGCTGCATCTTGTCTTTTTTACGGAAACAAGTCGTCAACTTTTCCTTAACCTCCAAACGGAGTTAGTTTGACCTACAGCCTGTGTGGAATAAGTAGCAAAGTGTCACCAAGCAAACAACGCATGAAGCAGTCAACATTGCCGTGTACCACAAATTGGTCAGTCGTATGCTGCAGTTGCTTGAAAGTAATTGATGGTGCATTTAGCAGTAGACACCGTCTACTTAGAATTACCGATGGTCAACGTTCGTTCTCCTGTGGTTTTAACCGAGTAACTTTCCTCCAGACGTATATGTGCGTCATCAGGTTGAACATGTTATCATAGTTTGAAGACCAAAGTGAAAGTGTTACTCGCATAACCACAAACCGCACGACATCGGCCGACAAAAGTGTTTAAAGGCTGCGACAACCTTTACACTAGCAGAGGATAAAAACAATCGGAGTGTTTGGCGGACACAGTGCCAGCCCCTTCACACTGGCATACCAAATAGTGAATGATTCCAATGATGTGTTGCGAAATGCGGGAGCTTCACCTAAGGAACAACCAGTTAAAACTATGCTCATGTACAAGTGAGCATTACGTCAGCAGAACAGCTCCCACTGGAACACTCGCCCACGTTATTTGCAGAAGGCGGTTGGATAACACACTTAACCAAAGTGGGAGTAGACATCAAGTACGCGCAAACATGAAACGTGCGTCCGTGTGCGACCTGTTTAGAAACACACAAATCGTTCAAGTGGAAACTATACAGAAGACTGCTTATAACGGTTAAGAGCTGATATGCGATGAGCGTAAGAGCGTGAGTAGATCGAAAGTTCACAATAACTTACATGGAAATGGACAGCAGGAGGGGATTCAGCACTCGAATTTGCCGACAATGTATTAGAATTTAGTAACGCCATCACGAAGGGATTTGAGAAAAGGGCAGCCAAAGCTTCTTGTTGCTGCTGCAAAGCAGGTTTCTTCAAGTATGCGTGACTGGGTTCAAGACGGTGTTGGTCAGAAACAAGTTCCGGGGTACTATGATCGATAAAGCTCGCCTCTGAAGTATATACCTCGTCGCAATTGTCCAATGAGCTGTCAGAAACTGTGCGAAGCGGAGCACTGCATCCGGTACCGGAGCTGCTTCCCATGTCAGCGCTTGTGTCGACAAACAATGGCTTGGAGAGGTCGCTCGGAGGAGAAGATACGTTGAGAGTGGTGAACAGTTGACGAATCACCCCAAGCGAATCACGCAAATGTTCTGTGACAAAGTCACGTTGCTTCTTCAAGGTCTCCACCTCATCCTCTTTCTGAGAAAACATGCGACGACGGTGTTCGAGTAGTACAAATTCGTACATCGCAGTGGAGGGAAATGAAAGTAAGAGCGTAAAGAAGAGAATTGTGACAGTAAATGACTTCAAGAAGCAGAGATTGTTGTAGAAACAAAACTCCATAAAAGGAGGACGAGACGAACCGCTCTCGCACATGAACCTTGCACACTGCAAGGCAGTCAGGAATATAAAGAAGGGAAATCAAAGATTTGTGGAGATCAGGTTAAAATGACCATGGAGGCAGCGTGAATTCGACTGGGCTCACAGTTAAGATTACCAACCACTAATTTCCGACGGCCAGAATGATGTTGACCAGCAAGCGCACGTAAGTAAATAAAAGAGGTATATTTCCCGAGGAGCGGCATAAGTAACTTCCCTCCAGTGTATGGGTCAAGGGCCGGATCCGGCCCGCGACGCTAGTTCATCCGGCTCACTGACTGTACCCGAATTCTCTTGACAAATCGTGGGGAACAAGAGATGCGGTGATAAAATTTACAGTTGACGCTGCGTTGCATTGTCAGCGACCTTACACAGTTTGAGAACCAGCGTGGGCCATCTTAGGGTTGTTATTGTGGGGCCAGCTACAGCTGCATTGTTAGAACATTGGTGTAAATGATAACACATGAAACCCATTCATTCGTGGACTCTATCGTGCTTCTACTTACCAGACACCTTTGTGCCACAATAGAGATTAGTCCGTTAACTTGAAGGACGCGCCATATAAAACGTCCCAAAATTAAGTATGTATAATGTCGCGCCATAATTAGAACGAGCTGCAGGTTGATAGTATGAAATTGTATTGGAAGCGCGAACTGTTGAGGTTCGTACATGTTGGTATTACTAAATACATGTTCTCCTAATGGCCTCTGCTGCTCAGTTTTTCCGATGTTGCAGTTACTTTTTATCATGTTTATAATTCAACATCTTTATTGTTCAGGTCCCATTTATTTCAGCAGTTACTAAAAATAACGGACACCAAGTGTCATGTTTTCGTTGTCTTTGGTTTTGGAGTTCCCGTTCTGATATGCAAGTATTGTGCATAATGATTATGCGATCCACGCTAACCATTTTGTTAGTTATCCGGCTAGTGTTAGTCCTATTTCCAGTAACCCACCCAGTGCCAGTCAATTTTTCTACTTATCCAGTCCGCCGTGAAAAAAGTTTGGTGACGCCTGCTCTAGTGGAACGAACATTTGTACGGCCAGTTTCAGCAGAATTTCGTTTGGGAAGTTGCGTTTAATATGAATAAGTCATGGAGTGGTTTGCGGAAAATGCAATAAGTAACAGATCATTGGCAAGCTAGTTTTGTCATATGTTTCTCGCGCTGGATTCCATGAGTGCACTCTTAGACTGCTGAAGACCAAAAAGTGACTACAATTGACATGGAAACAAAAGTATTCGGATGACATATACACGTGGACAGACTCTTGCTGATCCTTAATAGCCACGTTAGCTTATTCCGTAGGTGGGCAAACATTACCAGGAAGACATTTAAGCAGAAATTTTGGTTGGTTACCTGTAAGAATAGTAGGCATTTCTTATTACGATTGCGATAGGCTGAGTCACTTGGTAAAACAACAGCTGTGCTGGTTGAGAAAAATAGCAGAGAATGAGGAGGCTGCTGTTCAGTCGTCGAAGACAGTGCGTCAAGCTAGAGGTAAGAACATCGTTCCTCACAAATAAGTGTTGACGAGCGCCCCATGACCATTTTGATAAATGAGCGCTGGACGCTTTTCAAAGTAATTGTGTCTGTTACTTGGAATTTCATCGCAGTAGATTCCAAATCAGACTGTCACACATGCCCGGAAATGCACAAGACGACTGTTCCGACCTATTGTAACGCGTCAGTAGAGCACAGCCATCGGCTCCATCAGGATCAGAACCCATGACCATTAGAAGCTTGAACCGCCAGCTAGTAGCTTATGTCCGTACGATGAACGCGCTATTAATTGTAGCAAAAAGCACCTACTCATGAGTAGCCGTACAAAGCTACTGTTAGTGGAAGTCGTCTTTCGGGGCCAACCCTGTCCTCCGAAACGTGGTGACTTGCATTGCAGTGGAAGAGTAGACGCGGCATATCGCAGTTAGCTTGTAAATAATGACGGGACACCACTGTTTCAAATGGTCCAGTGGCAAAAGCTGCCGGCAGACGATTCAAGCCGCCGGTGGTCGTGGGTTCGGATCCTGATGGGACCGATGGATGCGCGCTACTGACCCGACCCGACAGATCGAAAAGGCTGTCCAGTGCATTTCCAAGCATGTGGAGGACGATCTGACTAGTAAGCTGCTGCGACGAACCCACAATTAATTACATTAAAAACCACACTCGCAGGTAAAACTATATCTGCCTTACATATGTGATTATGTATGATGGTGTATTACTCTAGTGTGGGTCGCACTTTAGATGATTCAAGCGGTTTGGGATAGTGAAAATGATCTGGTGATGTGGCGTGTTAGCTAATTCGCTTTCGCTACTCGTTGTATGATGTGGTTGGAGAAGTTAAAGTTGCTTAACTGGAAGAGACGGCGTGGTGTTTAGCCGTCCACTTGTCGTCAACAGATGAAATCGTTGACTTCACCTCTTGCTGCCGTTGGATCCACACGCCTGTCTGGTTGGGGACCAGATGAAGAGCGCCGATGGTTAGAAACATTGTAATACATAGCGCGTAGTACAAACCAGTGGAATACTTGTGCACATACTTGTTTAGATTCAGATGTCTAACGCTTAACAATTGAAAACGACAAAAATATGAAAAATGGTGTGAAAAAATAACAAAAACGGTTCCGTTCTTCTTACGGCACAATAGCTGAAGTGTGTTGCTCACCTTTAGCTAATGTGCCATGATGATGTGGTGATTAAACTTGTATCCTTCTCATGATCTCCATGGCTTCGTTTGTCCGTATGTCCAGTTGTTAGACTGTTGCCAATACGTACATACACTACCGTACGCCATGAGGCATAAAGTGGGAGTTGAATTAAACCGCTTACAAAATCAAGATATTACTACTTTTACAATTTTCTGATTGGGGTACACCAATTATACCTGTAACCAAGCCAGACGGCTCCATACGTATTTGTGGTGATTACGGAATGACTGGTAACCAATATTCTATGTTAGTCAGGTACCCGTTGCCATGCATTTAGGATTTGTACACAACTCTGGCTGGTGCTGAAAATTTTACCAAGCTTGATCTCAGCCATGCATATTCGCAGATTGAACTCGACGAGCCTTCCAGGAAGTCTACTACTATTACGACACATATAAGACTATTCCAATATACTCGTTTGCCTTTTGGTATTAATTCTGCCCCTGGCATCCTTCCAGAGGATTATTGACAACCTGATAAAGAATTTGCCTTTCGTTTGTGCTCATCTGGACGATATTCTTATCTCGGGACGCTGTGATACAGAACATCTTCAGATACTAGCTGTTGTGCTCGAGCGAAGCGGATCTAAATTAAAGAAATCTAAATGTGAATTCCTTACGTCTTCCGTTTGCTACCTTGTCTACGGGCTGGATAAACGTGAGTTGCATGTTTTAAATGACAAGGTGAGGCGCCTGGTATAGAAAGTCCAGAGCCAAGGGACAGTGATGAACTTCGTTTCTTCTTGGGAATGTTATCTCACTATCGCCATTTTTACCAAATGCATCTACAGTATTATCGCCATTAAATGAATTGCTGCATAAAAATATGCTGTGGTGCCGGAATTCTCGTCATAGGAACACAACTTCATTAAAGCTAAACAAAGCATTGCTTCTCCATCAACACTAATTTTGTTTGATCCCAATAAACAACTCATTCTTTGTGTGACGCATCCTCTTGGGGGGGGGGTAGGAGCTATTCTGTGCCATCGTGAAGACGATGGATCCATAGGTCCAATAGCATGGCTACGCGTACATTACAACAGCAAAGAATTATTCACTATTGAACAGAGAAGCGCTGGCTGTAAGCTTTGGGATGAAAAGGTTCCACCAGTCAGTACCTCTAGAGAAATGTTTTCGAGGTGCACACTATCCATAAACCATTATCAATTTTACTGGGTGGAATCAAGGGCATCCAACAAGTCATGTCACCAAGAATGCAGTAATGGTATGTAACCATGAATGTGTACAGTTACAAGATAGTGAACGTTAGTGGTGCCAACTGCACAGCCGATGCGTTAAGTCGTCTACCGGTAACTGAAGCTGTGAAGGAACACATCCCTACATATGAACTGGTCAATTTAATGCAACATCTAGATACAACATCAACAAGAAGCGCAACAATCCGCCAATGGACGGACCGGGACCCAGTGATGTTAATGGTAAAACGCTTCTTGACCGTAGGTTGGCCATCTGAAGGAACAGCGGACTTAAAAGCGTTCTTAATGAGCAGAAACGAAATGAATCTACTCGAGGGCTGCGTTTCCTGGGGCTCTTGGATGTTCCCTCCCAGTAAGGCGCGGTCACAGATTGTTAAGGACCTCCACGATGCACATCCAGGAGTGGCGAGCATGAAAGGATTAGAAAGGGGATTTTGTTGGTGGTCCAATATCGATTCAGACATAGAGAATTGATTGAGGAATTGCGATATTTGTCATGCGCATCAACGTAGTAAAACGCCCGGTTCAATACATCCGTGGCGGTGGCCGGACAAGCCGTGGCAACGGATCCACGCCGACTAGTTTGGACTGATAAACGAAACGAGGTTCCTTCTATTCATCGATGCACATACAAAATGGATTGATGTGCACCCAATCACTAAAGCGACGTCTGAAACCACTATTGCTAAAATGCCTTCTTCCTTTGCTGCGTTTGGCATCCCGGAAGCCCTATACACAGATAATGGTCCACATTTTACCAGTGCTGAATTTAGTAAGTTTGTTACCAACAATGGGATGCGGCGTAACAAAACGGCCACGTATCATCCGGCATCGAACGGCTTGGCAGAAAGAGCGGTGAAAGCGATGAAACAAGGCCTACTAAAGCAGCGGGTGG